AGGAGAAAGCAGGAAAGGCTGGTGTAGTGGAATATTATAGAGGACTGTTTGGAAGTCCACAGGAAGAAGAATGCAGTCCCCATCCCTACCCCACCCTCCCAAGCTTCAACTCACAAAGTACACAGCTCCAAAGCTGCCATGGCCAATTTCCCGAAGGTCGGAGAAGAGCTTTTCGGGGTCATCCTTGAAAAAAAGCTCAGCCACATCAGGGTCCTTCAGGCTCCCGGCCCGGCCCCCAGCTGGCATGGTGGCCCCTGAGGGCCCTGAGAGTGGGGCCTGACCTGGAGAATGAAAATGGGACCCTTAGTGCAAGGATGGGGCTCTCAGAGAGAGGAAGGGGCCCCTCAAGTTTATCTTTTCCTTCCCTAATTCCCTGATGAGGGGGAGGCACTGCTGAGGAAGGGGGGGGGGGATTAGGAACAATATCAAAGCTCCAAAAAATGAATTTGCCCTGGCAACCAGAGCATGGGGCCGGGCCAGAGTTCCTGGAGTCCCTAAAACTGCTAAGATGACTGGGAACTAGGCATCCTCACCAACCCCCTCAGCCCTTAACAAGTTCCATTTCCCTACAACCCTTACTTCTTTCCTCAAGAATAAAAGATTTTTCCTCCCAGCCAGAAGCCCAAATCCCAAAGGGTCCTGTCTCACAAGTCCCATACTCCAAATGTTTCCAGGCACCTTCCGATTCCCCTTGGCGTTGCAGCCCCCCTCCTCCCTCAACCTCTCACACCCTGGAAGAGAGCAGGAAATAGCCAGGCCGGAGGTAGTGGAAATCCGGCCATTGTTAGAAGTGGGTACTGGCCCAGAAGGGCCAGAAGGCTCATTCTCAAAAAGGGGCTAGGGACACTGGCAGAGAAGAGATCTAGAATGGGAAGGGCAGGGCTAGAAATGGCATCTGGCTTTGGGGGCCTCCCTGTGACCTGAGCTGTCTTATTTGTCCATTCCAATTGCCTAGGTATCACACACAGGTATAGGACATTTGCGGTATACCAATAACATTTATTAAGCACATGTAGCAACACCTTAGATGTATCACCTCTCATTCAGTCCTCACCACAATCTTATGAGGTTATTACTATTACCCCTATTTTGCAGACGAGTAAACAGGCTCAGAAAGGGTGACTTTCCCAAAACTGTCCTCTACCACTGTGCGTTTAAAACAGCCCTGTGAAGTAAGCAGGGCAGGATCATGACACCATTTCATAGACAAGATCACCGAGGCAGAGAAAGGAAAGAGGACTTCTCCAAGGTCAGAGAAGAGGACTTTCTCCTCTCCAGTAAGGCATGTGTGCTCATTACTCTCTCAGCAACTCACTACAAGCTCAGCTCCCTCCTGCTGGGAGCTTCCCCTGACCACTCCAGTGCTTAGAGAGAGCTCCAAGAGCACCCACCCAAACACCCAGAGAGAGCTCCTTCATCAAAGTCAAGACCCCCAAGGGGATCCTAGGTGACTCCTGACTAAGCACTTGTTGGAATTCAGGCATAAAGAAGCCTTCAGAAGAGCTGGACTCCCAGGGCAGAGTTCTAGCCCTCTAAGAGAGCCTAACAATTTAGCATGTAATTATATTTTGTCATGCATTGTTTCCTATTGTGTTGTTAATTTTGCCTCCTCAGCCCAACTGGAAGCTGGAGGACAAGGAGCAAGCCCAGCTTTCTTCAGTGGGCCCCCAGGGTGCACAGGGCTCTCAGAATAGCCTGGGAGATTGATTGATTGCCCTCAGCAGCTCCAAGGCTGCTCAAAGCAGGCCCCTTTCTCCATTCTCCTGTCAGCAACCCTGCCAAGCACCCCTCATCCCCACCACATACCCACACACAAAAGCAGGTGCTCAAAACTTGCCAAAGTAATCTTCTTGACCTCTTTACCAGCTCCCAACCAAGAATGCCAACACAGAACCCTAGGCCACATCACATGAGGCCTCTTCCTCAAATAACACTGAACATTTGAGCAACTACCAAGGTCTGTCCTAAATCATAACCACCTTCTAAAATGGACAATGTTATCTCCATTCTGCAAATGAGGAAATCCAAGTGTGTCTGTCTCTATACTACCAGTAGTACATTTCATCCACAATGTACAGCAACAGGGCTTTGAGTAATATCCTTATACTTCGCCCTTTCTTCAGTGAAAAGAATTACAGCATAGGTCTGTTGTGAAATTCTTTTCCAGAAGATTTTCTTTATTTTTTAGAGAGACAGGAAAAGATGGAGAAAGAGAGGGACAGAGACATTAATGTGTGGCTGCCTCCCACATGCCTCCCCACTGGGGATGGGGCCTGCAACACAGGCATGTGCCCTGAATGGGAATCGAACTGGCAACCTTTTAGTTTGCAAGCCGGTGCTCAATCCACTAAACCACACCAGCCAGGACTCTGTTGTGAAATTTTTAATGAGATCTCATATTTAGGAACACTGTACACTCAGCATATGGTTTTTTCCCTACCTGCCTCTAGGATCACCACAACAAGGCTTTAATACTTTGGGGATCACCCTACCCCAGCAGCTTGGCTTTAACATCACTGTGGCTATAATCTGTCAGAAGAGAGAGCCCTCTCAAGGAACCCAGGCCAAAGACTGGGATCACAATAAAGATGAAGGTCATGGTGAAGAGAAAAATCCATGAGGCAGAAGGTAGGAGCCAGAGCTCCTGAGTACAGCTCTCCTAAAAAGGAAGCTCTTCTTCCTCCCATCCTTAAATCTTACCCCAACTCAAATCCTGATTCTGTCCCTGAGTGACCTTGGGCAACCTCTCTGGGCCTTAATATTTTCAACTGTAAAATGGGAAGATAGCAATAAAAGGGTGAAGGGAGGGTCACATGAGAAAATAGATGGAAAGCACTTTGTAAATGATAGATTGCTTGACAAAGAGATTATTTATATGAGCACAGACAAGAAGCTGGAAGGTAACTAATGTAACCGGGGGAAAATACTGCCAGGCACCCCCAAACACAAATGCACACACACATTTCCCTGAAAGGACAAGAAACCCAACCAGACCATGCCTAAAAAACACATAAACAGACCCACGATAGAGGTCAGAGGCACGGAAATCAACACTCCAGAACAATCAGTTAAAAGGGTTATAATCATGAGAAAGAGGTAGTAGCTGTGAGGGGCAAAGTGAACAGGGGAGATCAGAAGGTGCAAACCCACCTGATTAGCTCAGGCACCTAGGGCGTGACGCTCGGTGACATCAGAAACCCTGCCACCTGAGGTGCCCCATCAAACAGACATAATGAAGGGAAGAGGAAGGGGAAGAGGGTGGCAGCTGAAGGCAAGGCTAGCCAGAGGCTGACCACTGGCCCAGCTGGGCTTCCCCATCCTGAGGTAAGGGCCTACCTAGGCCCAGCTTCTGAGAAATGAGCACCCTTTCTTATCAATGCTAGACACAGGGACCCTCGTCCCTGCTCCCCGTGTCTCACCTGGTAGGGGTCACTATGGTGCCCCAGCGCTTCCGACTCCTCCTGAGGTCCTCCAGCGGCTCTGCCAAGCTGGGAGAGGGGCAAGGAGGCCTTTCCCCTTGCCACCTCTTCCTCGTCTTTCTCCCTTCCTGAGGGGCGGGCCCGGGAAGCCTCCCCTGGAGGGGAGGGGGTGACAACCTGATCTGACCTCGCGGTCCAGTCCTCCCCCTCGAGGGCGACAGTTGCTGAGTCCCGGGTTTCTGATTGTGGGATCTGAACCCCAGATATTTCAACGGGGGGAGGCTCAATCTGGTATTTGAACGCGTGGGGAATGAACCCCGGATACTGGTGCACGCGGGGCCCTGAACCCCAGATATTTGAAAGCCTATAAAACAAGAGCCCCAGGTTTACAGAGATTGGGACCCGAGTCCAGAATATCTCAATCTTTGGCGCTGACACCCGGATATTTGAGAAGCGAGGGGTCAAGCCCAGAAATTCGGGACCGAAGGGCCAGAGCCCCAGGTGTCCGGCCACCGACAGGGCGCCCACCCCCTAGGACGTCCGGCCAAACGGTTCCTCTCACGTCAGGGTCTGAGGGTGACAGCCCCCAATCCCTCCCCGGCCTCCTCCCCTTCTCTTTCTCTCTCCTAAAAGTGGCTGAAAGATTGCAGGTAAGGGCAGTCCCGGCGCCCTCTCCCTCTCCTCTTCAGCCTCAGCTTCTCGCCGCACCACAACCCGGGTCTCGTCCGGGTCTCCCTCTCCCTCTTCCTCCCAATTCCAAGATGGAGACCGGGCGGGAGCGCGCAGGCGCTGTAGGGACGCCTGGCCAAAGTGGGTGGGGCTCCAGAAGAGACAGCCCCGCCCCTCTCTCCTTACTGCCGCGGCGGCGAAGACAGGCAGCCACGGGGCCAGAGTGCGCACGCGCTCCGCCACGCGGACCCTGGGTGGGAGGCGGGGTAGAGGGCTAAGCTTGGAGGGGGAGGAGCCCAGCGCGCTTTCGGACAACTGGCGTTGGACGGACTGCGGAGCATGCGTTCGCCCCGCCTTAGCGGTGAGCCCGAGCTTGTTGCTAGGGGAAGCTTTGAGGGGGCTCGGGTGGAAGGTAAAAAGCAGCCGTGATCTGCGCTTGCGTGCAGGATAGATGCTGGGAGGGGCAAGGGAAGGCTGGTGCTGGGCACCAAAAAGGCGGGAAAATGGGCTGCTCAGGTTAGCAACCAGGGAGCCTGGCAATGCATCTAAATCGAGGAATCTTGGAGGGGTAATCTGTCAAATCCTTATAGCAAACTGAAGCCTTTTAGGGTTTCATGACCTGTCCAAGGTCATACTGCATTATGCATTCCCTTGACCAAACCCACCTAACTCTCTCAACTGGCTGAAATTATCAACTTTATTTCATAGGTATATGGTGGCAGAGCGGGGATCAAAACCAGGCATTTACCAAAGCCGTGGTACAACCGTGGGAACAGCTGCATTAACCCATGCCCTGTGACAACCTGTATCCCACACCAAGAATCAACAAGGAAAAAAGTTCCCTCAACCTCCTGAACCAGTCTACTCTAAAATTCCCACCTCAATCCAATTCCCAGTAAACACACTAGGCAGTATTGGGCAAAAAATCTTTTAATTTCCCCCCACATTCTAGCTCCACTTTCTGTAACATCTCTTCAAACTCAGAACCAAGGTCAGAGAAGTTGATCCACACCTGGAGAAAAATAAAAAAAAAAAAACAAGGCAGATGAGAAAGTCCTTGGGGGAAACCCTGGAATAGCTGCAGAAATTGAGGGAAGAGCAGAGCAAATGACAAGAGAGATAGGTACAAGCACTCAGTCCAACTGGGATGGCCTCAGGACCCCAGGATCTGCCTGACACCAGAAAATATTCCTTTTCCAGTCTGTTCAGATCTAAGAAAGGCCTTGTCTCTCCCCTGCACCTTGCCAGTCTCTTCCACTCAGCACCAGTGGCCCCCACAGCCTGCAGTGTCAAGTCATAGCATCTTAACCTGGCATCATGGTGCCTCATTTCCTGTCTCAAATAGGTGGTTGCAGCAGTTAGGCCTAGCCCTAAGCAAAATAAGCTAAGTTGATCTTGAATGTCTGGTTCCACTGGCCTTTCCCTGAGCCGGAGCTGTTTCTACTTCTTCCACAGTTATGTCCTAGGGCACAGCAGCTGCTGAAGCTGAGAACAATTTAAGAGCTAGAAGCACAATATATGACTCTCGTATTGTATGAGACCCACCTAAGAGAGTAAGACTATTTTACACAAATATTTCATTTTCCTTAATGAGCTGACACACAAACTAGTTAGCCAATATGTTTCCTACACACCGCTACCTTTGTGAGGCTGTGTTCATCCAAAGATTCTGTTGGCAGAGTCAACTTTGTCTAAAGGCAGTGATAGCTAATCGTAAAGAGAAAATGCATGTAAAGTGCTTGGGCATCATCAATTAATTCTTCTGAGCAGTTCAAGATGAATTTTACAAAATTTGCATCATAAAACTGGGTATCAGAATTTCATGAAAAAGCAAGGCAAACAGGATTCATATCCCAGGACACATCATCCAATTTGAGCCCTCTTAATCTACCAGTTACCAAAAAGCTTGGACGTGAACGAGAGCTACAGGTAAAACTTTTTTTTAAAAGATTTTATTTATTTAATTTTAGAGAGGGAAGGGAGACAGAGAGGAAGAGAAACATAAATGTGTAGTTGCCTCATGTGTGTTCCCTACTAGGGACCTGGCCCGCAACCCAGGAACGTGCCCTGACTGAGAATCAAACCCCTTTGGTTGGCAGGCCAGTATGCAATTCACTGAGCCACACCAGCCAGGGCAAGCTATGGGTAAATCTGAAGATCCAAATGTTAACTGAAAGAAGTCAGTCACTAAAAAATATGTATGATTCCATCTATATAAAGTTTGAAAATAAGTAAAACCAAACCATATCATTTAGAAATAACTCTATCTCAGTTACAATTCCCATCCCCACCCCATCCCCTACTCTCACAGGACTGGGGCAAAAATACCTTACCTGAGAACAAGACAGGAACTAGGCCAGTGCCCTCAGAGCCGGGTTCTAGACCAGGAGGACTCCCGGCGTGGATGAAAGCACACAGTAGTTAAAAAGCAGAGAAGGCCACCAAGGAGAAGCAGGAAAAAGCCTAAAACCAGCAGCCTGGAGCCACACAGAGCCAGCTCCTCCTAGGGATGGGCACAGGGAGGGAAGGAAATAAGAATGAGACAGAGGGAGGATAGAGAATCTTGCCTTAGGAAGACATCTTACTCCCAGCCCGAGGCTATGTAGAGAAGCCTCCATGGGAGGTAAGGCCTCTCCACATCCAAGGAGCAACTAAAGGGGAAATGTTATTTCTATACAAGCTGTCTAGCCAGTGTCTTCCACCCAGCACCAGCGGCCCCATGGCCTGCAGTACCAAGTCATAGCATCCTAGCCTGGCATAGCAGTGCCTCATGCTCAGGCCCCTGCATCTCTCCTGCCTCTTACCCTAAGTCATTCCTAAGCCCCTCATCACGAAGTGTCCTCAAAGGCTAAACACTTCTCATTCTCTAGGCCTGTGCTCATGCTGGTCCTTTATGCCTGAAATGTATTTCCTCTTTCCTGAACCCCCTCTAGTGCATTCTCTGCCCAAATCTTCCTCATTTCCAGGGATCATCCTAACAGAGCAGAACAAGGCTGGGACTCAGAGTCGGAGGGCCTAGGGTGATATCCTAGGTCTGCCGCTTAAGTAAGTGTGTGGCCATGGGCAATTTACTTCCTCTTTCTGAACCTGTTTCCTCATCTGTAAAATGGGATAATAACAGCTACCTCAAAAGGCTGTTTTAAATCAAATGAGATAATCTGAAAGCACTCTGTACACTACTGTACATGATTCCCTTTTTTAAATGCCACCGTGTCTGTGAAACTCTCCATAAACGTTCATGTTAGAGTTAATTGCTCCTTACACTGTGATTGAATAACACTTTGCTCACATCTCTGTGCTAGCAATTAAGTTATTATGCCTCCTAGTCCAGCTTCTGAATTCCTTTGAGGTAGAGGTCATGTTTAATTGTATTTAAAGACAATAGTTAATAGTAATAACTGTCATTTATCAAGTCTCTATTATGTACCAGGCATTGTACTGGGTACTTTACACTCACCCTCATTTATTTTTCAAATTAGGAGATAGTATCATGTTTTCTGTTTTACAGATGAGGAAGTGAGGCTCATAGAGACTCAGGTGCTTGTTCAAGATCACACAGGCTCCCAGTCAGGATTACAAATCCTATGTTTTATCCACTAGGTAGAATTGCCTTCAAGACACAACCTGTAGCAAAGAAGTCTATGAAGCCTGATAACCTGAAGCTCTTACCAACGTGAGTAGCTTGGTGAGCACAAGGCCTTCCTGGCTCCATACCCTGACACAATCTTCACCCATCCTAGGGCTCAGGGTGACATTTCCTACTCCCTCCTCCGAGCAGGATATGGGTGGCTGGCTGGAGGGCAGAAGTCCTGGAGCAGCACTAAAATACAGGCAGATTCCTGGGGTCCTTTCCGTGGTGACCCTGGCTGTAACAAGGACCCACTCTCCTGCAGAAGATCCTATGGGAGGCACCGGAGAGGAGATGGAAGAAAATGAAGGGTCAGGTGGGAACCACCCATTTTCAGACCTCTATTCATTTCTAAGGCTTCCTACAGTACCAAGTGTTCTGGCACTGATTCTATTCAATAAAGTACTCTATACACCATCATTTACATCATGGAAAAATTAAAAATAACTATGTACCCATATAAACAAAAATTAAATTAGCTTAAAAACAACAAAATACACCAATAATCACAAAGTTGCAATAGATAGATACACACTGTCAATGTTAATTTGTATACATTAGTTTGTTCTTTTTAAATAAAACAGTTTTCCACTAAGTACCAAAATACATGAAAAGGTTCACATCCCATTTCAAATTAGTGGGACAATAGTGGCCTATTCAGTCAACGGCCTTGGGACAATTTCCATTTGGGAAAAAAAATTAGACTGTTATCTCACTATAAAATAAGGTCCAGATGTATTAAAGGCCTATACAAAAAAACTGAAAACAAAACAAAAGCCTAGGCAAATATTATAAGAAAATACAGAAGAATATTTTCTAATTTTAAAGTTGGGAAGCCCCTCCTAAAAAAAGACACATCTAAAAGCCTGAGTAAAGAATAACAGAAATAAACTTAACCTCATAACAAATTAAAGACTTCTACACAATGAAAGGTAAGTTAAAAACAAGTCACAGTTTTTTGGACTTCCGCTCAAGATGGAGGGAGATGTAGGTAAACATGGCTCACCTCCCCGCACAACCGCAGCAAAAATGGCAACTAAACTGCAAAACAACTATCACCTAGAGTTGTCAGAAAATTGAGCTGTATGGAAATCTGACAACTGAGGAATTAGAGAAGTCACCTTCATCCAGCTGGGTAGGATGAGCGGAGATGCAGAGATGCAGAATGGGCAATCCCACACCTACATGTGGTGGATAAGCATCGGGGGGATACTTTGAGAGTGAGGGATCCCAGCTCCACACCGGACCACCCAGCTCAGGATTCCAGTGCCAGGAAGCTAAGTCCCCATAACTTCTGGCTGAGAAAACCAGTGTGGGTGGGGGCAGCAGAAGAAACTGCAGGATTCTCAGGCATTTCCTCTTAAGAGGGCCAAAGTGGACTTAGGACTTAACACAGACTCACTCTCTTTGGGCTCCAGCATCAGGGCAGCAGCTGGAAGGGCACCACTGGCATATGGGGAGAAACTGAAGTGTCTGGCATCAGGGCAAGTGCCAGGGAACAGCTTCCTCCCAGACAAAACTCCAGAGGACAGGTAGCAGCCACTGTCCCTTTTCTGAGTCCTCTCTCACACACAGCCACAGAGAGGCAACACCATATCTGTGACTCCATCAACCTGGTTCACATGGGTTGCCCCACCCTGGTGATTACCTAAGGCCCTACCCCATCCAAATTACAGTGTGCTTTGCTAAAATAGGCCATGCTACTAAGACAGGGAGTCAAAACAGCTCTACCTAACACAAGGAAACAAACACAGGGAGGCTGCCAAAATGAGGAGACAAAGAAAGATGGCCCAAATGAAAGAACATGTCAAACTGAAGAAAAAGAACTAAACAGCCCTGGCTGGTGTGGCTCAGTGGATTGAGCCCCAGCCTGCGAACCGAAAGGTTGCCAATTTGATTCCCAGTCAGGGCCCATGCCTGGGTTGTGGGTCAGCTCCCCAGTTGGCAGCATATGAGAGGCAACCAATCAATTTCTTTCCCTTTCTCCCTCCATTCCCCTCTTTCTAAAACAAAAAATAAATAAAATCTTTAAAAATTAAAAAAAAAATAACTAAACAAAATGGAAATAAAGCCAAAGAACTTACATGCACAATGCATGGACATGAACTAAGGGGAGGGAGTATTGCTGGAGGGAATGTGGGTACCAGGCAGAGGGGGGCAAAAGGGAAAAATTGGGACAACTGTAATAGCATAATCAATAAAATATATTTTTTAAAAAACAAGTAACTGATTGAAAATACCTATAATAGATTTAATTGGCAAAATGTTTACTGTCCATAATGTATAAAGACCTAAAAATCAAGAAAATAAAGACAAAGAAAAATAAGCAGAGAATATGAATAGGAAATTCAGAGAACATATGAAAATAGCCAATAAACTTACTAGAGGATGCTAAACCTCACTAGCAATCAGGACAAAGTAAATTAAAACTATTAGGTAATTCCTTTGCCCATTATAGTGTTAAAAATTAAAAAGAATGATATTAACAAGAGTTGTTGAAGATATGGGGAAATGGGGACTCTCAGTTGGTGACATCTTTTGGAAGAACTTTTGGCTATTATCTGTTGTCATCTGGGTGCAGAGAGGGACTAAGAAGATGCCCACCAAACTGTCAACTCTGCAGGGGAGGTAGGAGGGTTTTTACATCTGTTTTGGATACTTCCATGTGGTCTGAATCCACAACATAAAGAATCTGTCTATATAAAGAAAAGAGTATTTAGGGTAAAAAAAGGGGTGCCATATCCTTTGACTCAGTAATACTATTTGTAGAAACTAATCCTAAAGAAAAAATTCAAAATAAAAATGCAAAATATACCAAGATATTTATTCTGATTCCGTTTTTTTAAAGTAGGAAACAACAGATATTTAACAACAGGGAAAGCATTAACCGATGATGGCCTAACCACTTAATGAATCACTTTACCTCCTTTAAAATAATGCTTTTGTTTTTTGCACTAATACAAAAAACATGATGTCCTAAGTAAAAAAAGAGAGATACAATCAGTATATCCATCAGAATTACAATGGAGAAATGTACATGTGAAACTCTATAAGAGAACTCCGCTTTTTTTTATGTACCCACATTGAATCAATCACAAAATCCTGTCAATCTCACACTTCTAACGTCTCCCTCAAATCAGTCACCTTCTTTCAAGACACTATCTTAGCTCAGTTTTTTCTCATCATCTTTTTATTGCAGCCACCTCCCAACTGGTGTTCCTGCATCTGGACACATTCCTTCCAGGTATTCAGCCAACAAGTGTTATCTTTTTAAAAGAACAACACATAAACAAAACTTTACCATTTTCCTGATTAAAATATTTGTATTTTCCCAATGCATTAGATAAAGACCAACTACCTTGACTTGGCACATGAGACCGTCCATGGGATTCTTTCTGCCTTTTTTGGGTCCATTACCTGCCATGCTCTCAACAATCCTTTCACTGCACCCCCTGGAAGCTCCTAAACACGCTAGCATAGTCCCTCCATCTGCATGCCCTTGCATATGCTCCTCCCTCTGGCGGGAAGGGTACCCTCATAGGCCTACCTCATGCTTCAGCTCAGGCACTGTATCCTTGGAAAAGCCTGTCTTCACCATCCCTGCTTGGCAGACTTCTGAGTACTCCCACTGTACCTTGTGTTCTATTTCACATGTTGCAAGGTACTTATTTCTGTTCCCCTCTGTACCCTTGCTAGGCCATGAGCAATCTGAAATGAGGGTCCACATCTTACAGATCTCTATACTCCCCATGCTTGGTACATAGTAGATACTCATTTCTAATTTTATCCGAAATAATTTTTGATGTTACTACTTTGTTTCTAGCCATTATTTTAAAAACAGCGCTTCTTTGCAGAGGCAAAAACTGAGAAGCTGATCCTAAAATTCATATGGAAATTCAAAGGATCCAGAATAGCCAAAAATTAACTCAAAATGGATCACAGACCTATGTGTAAGAGGTAAAATTATAAAATTCTTAGAAGAAAATATAGAAGTCATAGAGAACTTGGGTGAGGCAAAGTTTTCTTATATATAATACCAAAATCACAAGCAACAATAGAAAAATAGGTAAGTTGGAATCCATCTATATCAAAAACATCTGTGCTTCAAAGCATACCATCAACAAAGTGAAAAGAACCCAGAGAATGTGACAGACTATCTGCAAATGATACACCAGATAAGAGACTTGTATCTAGAAAATAGAAAGAACTCCTACAACTGAATAATTAAAAGACACATTACCCAATTTTATTATTTTTTAAATATTTTATTTATTTATTTTTAATAAGGGGAAGGGAGAAAGAAAGAGAGGGAGAGAAGCATCAATGTGTGGTTGCTTCTCTCAAGGCTCCTACTGGGGACCTGGCCCACAACCCAGGTGTGTGCCCTGACTGGGTAATCGAACTGGTGACCCCTTGCTTCACAGGCCCGCACTCAACCCACTGAACCACACCAGCCAGGGCCACATTACCCAATTTTAAAAATGGGCAAAGACTGCATATACATTTGTCCAAAAATATGCAAATGGCTAATAAACACATGAAAAAATTCTCAATATCATTAGTCACCAGGAACATGCAAATCAGAACCACAGTGAGACACCACTGCACAATGACGATGAGGGCTATAATCAAAAAGACATATAATAACAAGTGTTGGGCAAGGCGTGGTGAAATGGACCTTTCATACACTTCTGGTGGGGATATAAAATGGTACAGCCACTTTGAAAACAGGCTGGCAGTTCCTCAAAAGATTAAATAGAGTTGACCCTGGCTGGGCTAGTGTGGCCCAGTGGACTGAGCACTGGCCTGCAAACCAAAAGGTCACTGGTTTAATTCCCAGTCAGGGCACATGCCTGGGTTGTGGACCAGGTCCCCGGCTGGGAGCATGTGAGGGGCAACCAATCAATGTAACTCTTGTGCATCGATGTTTCTCTCTCTCCCTCTCTCTCTCTCCCCTTTCCCCTCTCCCCCAAAATAAATAAATATAAATGGAGTTACCATATGATCCAGCAATTCCATTCCTGGTTGTATGCCCAAAAGAAATAAAAATATATGATCACACCCTGACCGGTGTGACTCCCAGTTGCTAGGAACATCCCACAAGGAGTTCGATTCCCAGTCAGGGCATCTTCCTGGGTTGCAGTTGTTTGGTCCCCAGTTGGGGCGCATAAAAGAGGCAAATGATAGATGTTTCTCTCTCACATCAATGTTCCTTTCCTCTGTCTCTCTCCCTTCCCATCTTTAAGAAAAATATGATCACTCAGAAACTTGTATATCATTCATAATAGCCAAAAGGTGAAAACAATTCAAAGGGCAATTAAATGATGAGTGGACAAATAAAATGTGGAGTTGTCATACAGTGAATACTACTGAGCGAAAAAGAAGTAGTAGTAGTACTGCTATGCGTTACGACATAGATGAATCCTAAAAACATTATGCTAGGTGATAGAAGCCAGTCCCAAATAAACATATGTTATGTGCAATGTCCAGAATAAGCAAATCTACAGAGGCAGGAAGTAGATTAGTTAGTGGTTGCCAAAAGCTGGGAAGTTGGAAGAAAAAGGACTGCTATATATCAGACATATTCTTTATTCTTGCTCTTTGATCACACATATACACCTACACATACAAAGACCTACCCACCCCCCACAAACACATATGTGATTCATAGGAGAATCTTAGAATGATAGTATTGAAAAGGACCTCAGAAGTCAGAGAATTCCACCATTCTCTCCTCCCTCTTCATTTCCCATTTTTTTAGATAACGAACCTGAGGCCAAATCTCACACAGGAATTAATGGAACCCACTGACTCTCACTCATCATCTTCCCAGAAGACTTTAAGTGCTTTGAAAATGGATGATGTTTAATTTCTTCTGTATCCTCCTTTGCATATAGAGCTGTGCTAAGCACATAGCAAGTAGTAAAGACACATTTAACTGAACAGAACATGCTTGTTGGGTACCCCTGAGGAAAGAGGTGCTTCGATGAGAAGGCCATAGGAATGAAGAGGGATAGCAAAGAACTTTAGGTCAAATCTAGTCCATCTCATCACACCTCCAAGGGCAGAATCAAAGAACCCCACAGCTGGAAGGGGAGAGAGAAAACATTCATAGAGAACCTACACAGTGGGCATCGCTTTCACTGTAAGTACCTAGTCCTTATTATAGAAGTGACTAAGGCCGAGGGATGTGCTTAAGGTCACCAGGTTGGTGAGTGTTCTGATATTCAACCCCACAGTCCTCCTTGTCTCACCTTTCCATCCCATCTGACTACCCAGAACCTTGGCTTGGAATATCTGGGTCTTGTTCCTGTCTGGACCATCTCCGAAGTTCAAAGTGGTCAGCAAGCCCACAATGTGGGATTCATGCCACTCCCCTGTGACTTTCCTAGTCACAGGGCAGAGGGTCAGCTGGCCAAAAGATCTCAAGAAGGAGACCCAGTCCTGTGTGCAAAAGAAAGGTGGTAGAGAGGTGAGAGATTATCAGCAAGAGCAGACCTACATGGGACAAATGAGCAGGAGGGTACTCACCTGAGGGATGTCAGGGCTGCGCAGGCCAGTCTTGTGCGTGAGGAGGAAGCCGCCAAGGCCCAGGCCAGAAAGGCCAAGAAGCAGAACCATTAAAGTGGCACAGACCAGAGGTGGGTGGTGGGCCAGACAGAGATGCAGGTTGTGCCCTGCCTGGCAGCTGCCCATGGGTAGTAGAGGGGTCTGGGCATCCACGGAAAGCCTGCTGGAGGACAGGAAGGGAGAACTGGACAAGAGCCTGCCAGTCAGAAGGCACTTACCCATTTTACTCAAAAGGAAGCTAAAGCACCATGATAAGGGACTTGTCCAAGGCCACACAGACAATAGCAGAGCCAGGGCAAGAATCCAAGGCTCTTGACTCCAATTGTTCACCTCCCTGCACCACTCAATAAATTTTGCTGCTTTTTATTCCTGAAGTAATCAAGGCAGAAGTAGAGCAGAGCACACTGTGCTGGAAAAAGGAACCTAAAAAGGAAAATTCTTAAAGGCAGAAACTCAGGAAACAGCTGTTCTGGTTTGGCTGCAGAAGAGTCCTAGCCAATAGCCCAAAGAAAGTGTCTGACAAAACCCACTTTGGAGTTAAACTGCTTAGTTTGAATCCTTCTCTGCCATTCATTGGCTCTATGAGAAAAATCAAACTTTGGAAGTTTAAGGACCTGTGAAATGGGAGTTCTAAACCAGGCAATGAGGACTAAATGCGGCAGATAAAAGTTTGCATAATACTTGGCCATGCAGGTACTCAACAAGTGACCATTTCTTTTCTATTTTTCTGTGTCATATTTATCTTCACAACCAGGTGAGGCAAGGCAAAAATACTGTGGGAAAAACCGAGGCTCATGGACATTAACACAGGAATGGTAGGGCCAAGGTGTCTCCTGCTTCCAACTGAAGTGCTCTTTCCCAGGAGAGATGCAACAGCCTGATGAAAAGGAACATCTGGAAAGAGGATGGGGATAGAAGAGCTCCAGGAAAATGCAGGTGTCAAAAAGGCTCAGCCCCCTGCCCTGCCTCCCGCCCCGGCACATTTGGAGAGGGGCAAAAGGCAGGAAGGGAGAGGGCAGAGGCCAGGAGTCAGCGACTGAGGGTGGCCCTGGGTCTCCCCTGCCCCTAGCCGCCCGGCAGGAACTCTACACACGCATCCCCTCCCAGTCTATCAGCTTGGAGTGTGCCCGCCGCTCGCTCTCACCCCTGGGAGCCGGTCGAAGCCGGGCCCCGGCGACGTCACGCGTGGAGCCGCGAAGGGGCGGAGTCCGTGATTCCGACCCTCCTCCTCACTCCTGTGGCGGGGATTCGCATGCGTAGTGCCCAGGCTTGGGGCCGCCTCTCCACAAATCAGTGTGCGGATGTACCAAGAGGATATCCAGTGAAGGGGTAAAGGGAAAGATATACCTCTGCAGAAGGTGCGCACAGGGGAAAGAGGCAAGGGGACTTACCCTAGAGACGTTGTTAGAACTGTAAGCTCTCCCTCTGCGGACCATGAGGATAGTTAAAGGTGATTTTTGTCGCAGGGATTCTCCTGTCACTAGGCTCCCACCCTCGCCAATAGCACAGCCCAGGCGCGCCCAGGTTCCGGCCAAGGACTTGGGTCCGCCTCGGGGTGGGGCTCCAGTCCCTGGACTTTAGTTTTCCGGGAGGATAAGCTCCGTTTTCCTCTGAAGCTAGATAATCATTTTAAACGTATTCGCATCAGTTGTGGCCCCTGACTTTTAGTCACTTGTTTTTCCTTTCTTTGTTTTTTTAAATCCTCCCTGTAGGATATGTTTATTGATTTTAGAGAGTGGAAGGGGGGAGAGTGAGAGGCAAAAAAACAAAAACAACAGTTACAGAAACATCCATCAGCTGCCTCCCGTCAACGCCCCCACGGGGATCCAATGTATATGGAGCCATCTGGTCAGACTGGTAACTCGTTAATGAATAGGGTCATACAAGCTGCAAAGTTGCTCAATAGACACCATCTCATTTCATTTTGTCCACATTTTAGAGATGAGAATGCTGAGGTCCATCTTACCTGAAATAACAGGACAAACACAGCCAAGAACCTGGATTCAAATCCTGTCTCTCTGTGCCCTTCCATAAACTATAACCACGCTTTTCTAGGGATCGAGTTTATTCCTCTGTTAAAGAGGATCACCGTGCATCCCTCACTGGGTTGGCTGGGAAGCTGAGACAAAGTACGGGAAAACATGTGCCCAAATGTCCACGGAGCACACAACCAGCACTGGACAACTAATGTAGAAACAGAATTTGAGTACTAAACTCTACTGGGGCCTCCTTAAGACAGAGATCATGTCATTTCTGTACCACCTCCAGAACTTACAGCACAAAATCATCTCTTATAAGGCCAACGATACTTGACAAGGGTGCCAAAACCATTTAATGGGGGAAAAAATTGTCTTATTCAAGAAATGATGTTGGGAAAACTGGATATCTACATACAAAAGAAGGAAGTTAACTCCTTATTGTTATACCATGTACAAAAGTTAATTAAAATGCATGGAAGAACTAAATGAAACAGCTGAAACCATAAAACTTTTAAAGAGTTTATTTATTTGTATTTATTTATTTTATTTAAAGGTGTATTTATTTTTAGAGGGGAAGGGAGGGAGAAAGAGGAGAGAAACATCAATGTGTGGTTGCCTCTCGTATGCTCCACCCCCCAACACTGGGGACTCGGCCCACAACCCAGGCATGTGCCCTGACTGGGAATCAAACTGACGACCCTTTGGTTTGTAGGCCGGCACTCAGTCTACTGAGCCATGTCAGCCAGGGTGAAACTATAAAACTTTTAGAAGAAAACATAGCGGGAAAGCTTTACATTGGATTTGGCAATGATTTCCTCGATGATACCAAAAGCATAGGCAGCAAAAGAAAAAATAGATAAGTCAGACTGCATCAAAATTTAAAACTTCTGTGCATTAAAGGACACCACAGAATGAAAAGGCAACCCATGACATGGGAGGAAATATTTGCAAATCATATATCTGTGAAGGAATTCGTATCCAGAAGATGTAAAGACCTACATCTTCAACAACAGCAACACATAAAACCAACCCAATTAAAAAGTGCACAAAGGATGTGAGTAGACATTTCTCCAAAGAAGACATACAAATGACCAACAACGCATGAACGTTGTTCCATAGCACTAACATTAGGGAAATAAAAATCAAAACCACAATCAGGATCTAGCTTACATGTATTAGAATGGCTTTAAAAAAAAAAAAAAAGGAGAATAACAAGTGTTGGCAAGCCTGTGGAGAGATTGGAACCCTTGTGCGCCATTGGTAGGAATGTAAAATGGTACAGCCACTATGGAAAACAGACTGGTATATCTTCAAAAAATTAAAAATAGAATTACCATGTTATCCAGCAATCCCACTTTTCAGGACATACCCCTGTGAGTAAGAAGTAGGGTTTCAAAAAGGTATTTGTACACCCAAGATCATAGCAGCATTATTCACAAGAACTAAAAGGTAGAAGCAACCCAAGTGTCCATCAACAGAGGAATGGATAAACAAAATATGGTATTTACATACAATGGAACATTATTGAGCCTTAAAAAGGAAGGACAGCCCTGGCTAAGGCAGGGCAGCCCTGGCTGGGTGGCTCAACTGGTTGGAATGTCTTGTACACCAAAAGGTTATGGGTTTGATTCCTGGTCAGGGCACATACCTAGGTTGCTGGTTTGATCCCTGATCAGGGAGTGCACAGGCAATGATCAATGTTTCTCTCTCACATTGATGTCTGCCTGCCTGTCTGTCTGTCTCTCTTTCCCTCTTCCTCTCTCTTTTAAGTCAATAAACATATCCTTGGGCAAGGATTAAAAAAAGAGGAATGGCAATCTGGCACATGCTACAACATGGATGAACCTTTTACAAAGTGAAATAAGCCAGTCACAAAAAGACAAATATTGTATGATTCCACTTATATGAGGTACTCAGAGTAGTCAAATTCATTAGGACAGTAGAATGATGGGAATGAGGAGTTATAGGTTAATGTGTTTAGAGATTGAGTTTTGCAAGGTGAAAACAGCTCTGGAGATGGAAGGTGGTGATGGTTGGGAAACAAGATGGATATACTTAACACTACTAAACTATACACTTAAAATGGTAAAGATGGTAAATTTTGTTATGTGTATTTTGCTACAATTAAAAATAATTTTTAAGAAACTAGAGGGAGCCCTGGCCAGTGTGGCTCAATGGTTGGAGCATTGTCCAGTAACTGAAAGATTGAGGGTTTGACTCCCAGTCAGAACACATGCCTGGGTTTCAGGTTCATCCTTGTTCTGGGTGTCAGAGCATGCGATCCCCGCCCCCACCTGGTCCAGACACATACGATCCCCAGTCCTGGTTCCCATGTGATCCCTGGTTTGGGTGCATACAAGGAAACCAATCGATACTTCTCTCACAGGAATCTTTCTCTCCTTTCTTCTCTCTCTAAAAAAGCAAATGAAAATGTCCTAGGGTGAGGATGGAGAGGGGGGGGGGAGGGAGGGAGGGAGAGAGGGAGGGAAGGAGGAAGGAAGGAAGGAAGGAACTGGAGGAAAGGTGGAATTTATGTCAGTCCCCTAGACTATAGTGAGTGTTTTATAAATGCCACTGATTGACTTAAATGAAATTCCAAGCATAGGAAGTATTTTCTTCTCAAAAGAAAAATAAAAGTGTGACTGATAGAGAATTTTAGAATCTAGGAATTGTAAGGCACTTAATAAATGAACAAGTTCAACAACCTTCCCCCGCTTGGTTTTCCAAATGCTAAACTGATGTCTGGAGAGGTTAAGGGACTTGCCCCAAGTCTCCCAACCAGTAGGCCTCAGTGTCTCAATACCAAACCCAGTCCTTTCCCACTAAACCCTCCTTCTTCAGCCCTGCCAAGATATCTCTCCTGAAAACCTTCAAAGGTCTCTGCCCATTTAGTCACACCCTGCCCACTCTGGGCCAACTAAGTAGGCTTTCCCTAGTTTTGGTCTGATCTCTCAGGCCAACACCTAAGTTTCTGAAGTAGTACGTTCTTGCAAGCCCCAGGTCTTTCATAGTTTGAGCACATAGTATTCACTCTATAAATATTTGTTGATTGATTTATTCAAAACAGCTTCATACAGACCTGTTTCTGGAGAACTCACCAATTTTCAGTCTCATTTTATGGTTGGGAACACATCTGCCCATGCTTGGATATTTGTGAAATTTAAGTTAAAACACAAAAGAAAGTGTATTTGGTCAACAACTGTTTTTTAGTATCTGTTATGGTCCAGGTACAAAGTTAATATCCATGCGGTAAAAACATCGTCAAGCTTCTAAAAATGACAAGCCTAATTTGCAGGGTCAGATAAGGCATGAAAGTGCTGGTGCACAATAGGAAGTCAACAAATGTGATTCCCCCCCCCCAATATTCTTGCACTGGAGAGTAATTGGGCATATTTGGACAGAAGTTCCTTTAAATGACCATAATTAATATTTACTCACATAGTCAAACCAAGCAATTCTATGGACCAATAGAGGCAAGCAGTTTAGAGAAAAGAACTGCCTTGAGGCCTGAGCATCAGGGTAAATGGATATGAACAAATGTCTTATACAGAAAAAAAGGAAAGGTGGTGGTGGGGGTACAAGAGGACACAGAATTGGGTGTGCATTGTAATGCTCCAGCGTTATGCCAACATTCTGACTTTATCCACTCATTATGCTCTTAAGGTAGATGTTATGATGACAACCTGCTCCTAGACAGCTTACATAATTTAACTTAGGACACACAGCTAATAGGCAGCAGAAGCTGGCTTATAACTTAAGCCTGACTAGGGCCTACAGGTGAGAATCAGAAAGTTGAGGAGAGAATCACCCAGTCCCTTAAAAAGAATAGAGAGAGGGGTTCCTTGATCACTCCATGGTGATAAATTTCTCTCAGAGCTCTGGGCCAGACAGCGTTTCTTCCAGGATCTGTTTGATTTTTTCCCCCTTCAAGATTATTATCTTAAAACTTTTTAGGAATAAAGATCCCTCTGAAAATCTGATGAAAGCTTTTTATTCAGTCAGTCACTCAGTTATTCATTCAATAAATACCTCTGAGCTACCAGGCTCTATTCTGCAGGCTGGAATACAATGGCAGAAAAAGTATTCAGGATCCCCAGCCTTCCGGAACTACAGTCCACCTATAGACCCTGTCCCTGGAAAAATGCACTTTCACCTAAATGTTTGCATGTAGTTTCAGTTAGTGGAAGCTCAGTCCTCTTGAAGCCCATCCTTGGACAAGAGCCCCTGTTTATTTAATAAGGGTCCTTCTCCCCTAGCTGGACCTCAGT